GAGCAACATGACCTAGTTGCCTGGCTTTTTGATTCATGCAACTACACTACATGGTCCAGTCTCCACTGCTTCCCAGCTCAGGCAGGCAAAGTGGCAGCAGCCAGTGACAGCAGATGAGGAGCCTGCGGTTACTTGACGTTACTTGGGCCGGAACGAATGGCCAGTAAAGCTGTCGAGCTTAGCGAGTGCTGCATTTGACGTCGAAACTATCCGGAGTACTCGGCGCCCTCCCGCGATGCGGACAGCGAGGCCATCGTGATTCCATGTGCTGTTCGTGTGTGGCAGCTCGTGCACCCCTGGGCTACTTAACTTGCGCATTTGTTTGCAATGTTGGACATGGAAAATTCAGGCGTGCGCAGGACCGGCCGACGAAGAGGCCCGAACAATTGGACAATACATGAAAGAGCAACTGCTCACCCATGCTGTGCTGGTTGAGACACACAGTGCCATTTGGCAGACAATTGCAGGCTCAGGCTTTGCCATCCTTTCCACCAGAGCACAAGACGCTGAAGGCCTCTAGCATGCCATACTCGCGTCTGGTCTGGCTCTAACGTTTTCAGTAACACAGCACGGCTGTTCCGGAATCGGTGCGGTCGAGTCAGAAAACGCAAAGGGCTCAATCATAAAACGGCAACGCCCCAGTCCGAAAACTGACAATGCGCATTCAGAAAACAGAAGCCTCATCGGCAAAACATCTTAACGTTTCGCGCTCTTTCCGTGTTCTCCAACGTTCCAATCTCACATCGCAAAGATACAAAACAAACAGGCGGATTCGGTAAAACGAAAGCCTAGTCGGGAAAATCTCCTGACGCCGGATATGTGTTATAAATGGGGTTTTCGTTCAGTCTGTGGCAGTTTTGCACTCGCCTTCCGGCTGCACGTTTTCCGACTGACGCCTTTGTTTTCGGATCAAGGCCTTTTTGTTTTCGGATTGGGGCTTTCGGATGCTTTCGGACACGTGCGATTGACCAAATGACCAAACTTTCCTTCTCCTGCGGGTTACGGTTGCAATCGCACGTTTGAAGCTTGTCGCGCTTTCGCACTGAGCCTCTCCGGTTTATGGTTGCACGTTTTCCCGACTGACGCCTTCGTTTTTTGGATTGGGGCCTTTGGATGCGAATGTTGGACAGACTCTTTCTTTTCTCTCGGCGTGTGTCTGCGCTAATTTGAGTCTTTGGGTGTTTCTGACTCGGCTCCCCGCGTTGTTCGAACTCAGCTCGTTTTCTAGCTCAGTCATTCCGTTTGCTGATTGGAGCTTTCCTTTTCAGTGTCCACGTTTTTTCCAACTCAGCCTGTACCCGAGAACCCTTGCAATCTCTTCGTTGTTCGCTCGGCAGCTCTATTCGTGGATAGCCGGAAGCGAAGTTGTTGTAGCAGTCAGGACGTACTGTAGACAAGCAGAAGCTGTATACTACAAGATGGCACGGGCAAGTATGAACGAAGCATGAGCTTGAGGAAGTTAGCACCCTTTCTTTCAGGGTGCTCTCAAGGCTAGATGCTACTTACAGTTACTAAGCCATGACAGTGGGAGATCCAACTTACATAGGACATGGGATTGCGAATCCTTCGTGACAGGGAGGGATTAGGATAGTATTCCCCGAGCAGCGCAGTGTCCAACAAGTGCAGAACAGTGCTCCCATCCCCAAGAACGGGCACAGGATTAACACATTACTAGACGCCTGGGCCATACTTCATTTTTCGTCTAGAGCTGCGCTTGTGACAATGCTGGCCCAAATTGCTGTCAATGACATTCAGTACCCATTGACCCATGAGAGGCGGACTCAAGCTCTGCCCCGACGTCGCCGACTGGGACGTCGTCTGGGCCGGACAGCAATGCGCCCCATAAGCCCGCACATTGATTTACGAACCGAGCATATACAACAGAGTGTTCCAGAACAGGATGCACCATCCTCCCCACCAGCTACGCGCCTACATTCGCAAGGTGCCAATGCAAGTAGCCACACAGCCTGGCTAGTTCATTTCAGGAGGGGTGATGGTGAGGGGTCATCAGTTTCGAACTTCATTCATTGCCCGATCAGTTGTCAAGTTTTTGTCCTCGGAGTCTCACAGGCCGATGTCCTATACTGCCCTAAAGCATACAGTATCTAGACTAGAGAACAACCCAAAAATTCCCAGATTTCCGATGTTTCGGTCCTTTTCGAGCTCGAGAAGGTCGAAACTATTCCAATTTTTCGGACGAGCGCGCACAGGCTCAACATTTCGAGTCGACCTGAGCTTGCTTCCAAGCCACCAAGCCATCTAGTGAATATACAGCCATACATTCATGTACGCGTATGTGCATTGCTGGTACCAGTTAAGCACTGCTGGCAGGTTTGATTCCCGGCATGGTCAGGAGCTGAGGCATGTGTCGCGTGAAGGTGCAGAGCTGTCGGATTAAAGTTGCGAAAAGTTGCGCACATCTGCACCCCAGGCTTGGGAAGGCACGAAGATGCCTCCGCTGCTTCCGTCCAGCGGTTGAGACGAGAGGCACAGTTGTGCCATGTGCGCTTAAATCCTCAAGCCCGAGGCACTTCGCACACTTCGGCCCTTTGCTCTGTCGAATACGGGCTTAGGACATGTGAGATCATGTCAGGCTATCGTCCTCACCTGGTGCCATCCGGTGCAATGATCTGAGCAATCTTCCTGGGCCTGGAGCCGCAATGCGCAGTTGGGTCATGTGGGGTCGCATTTCTATAGGCTCGGGGGAGCAATCGCACAGGTTTAGCTACGAGAATGTTTGCAATACTTTGCAGCTCAAGCGTTGTATACATTGCCGTAGGATCTCGAGACCAAATGATCTCAAGGATTTTCCAGGGCACTGTCCTTTGATTTGGCCGCAAGAAATCACCCTTGCTTCTAGCCGGGTCGGTGATGTCCAGAAGGCATGGCGAGAGTGCTCGAAGAACCGTCTGTTCGACGTGAGACAAGCGTTGCAGTACTTGTTGCCTTCACGATTGCAGATGTGTCGGGCTAGATGTCTACTGCTTGGCCTACAACGGCTTGGAGCATTGCTGCCATGCCTGTCGAGGCTCAATGCAATGTTTTTTCCCCACGTCTCACCTGTTATTTTGATGTTGCCTTGGCAAAGGACGCTGCAGTTTATGTGTGCACAGAGATGAGAGAGTGTCACACTCAGCCGAACAACGAATGGCCCAGTCTTGTAACAAAGTCCAAGTGGCGCCCTTTTCCCGCGAGACGTATAAAGTGTCTCGGCGACCGCAATCGCCTTCCGTCAAGGAAGCAGCCAGTAACGGGCTTTGAATTTGCCAACGTGCAGGCGAAGAAGAGCCATCCGGCCTGTTATTCGTCCACTCCACTCTTGTTTTGTGTATTTTCCTTTTTGCAGTACGGCTATGTCAAGGCTGAACTTCGGGGAGGCTGGACAGTAAGCCAGCAAGTTGTGGTTCGATGGTTTCTGGTTTTTGGGACTCTTCTGAAAACTGTGAAAATTGCAATGAATGCTGTCATGGCATAAAATCAACGACCGGCACTGACGTAACAAGCTTGTTTGGGCTTGACACCCTTCACTTGTGGTGCAGGGTGGTTCACACACATTAAACGACAAACGAAACCACAAACACACGAACAACCACTCTCGGTGAGCAAATTCTTCTCACAACTTGCAAGATTCATCGATGCAAAATGCTCACCGCATAACTCATCGTCGGTGGGTCTCGAGCTGCTAAATGCAAGGCACCTGGGCCCCACTTCTCGCTTTTTGACCTAGCTGTGCAAGACTCAAGCACGGAGCGTGCAGTTCTTCTGATCAAAAAAGGCCTTGTGCATCTGGCACTCTTTGCAACACATTTTGTGTCTTTGGTCTCACCCTCACCAGCATCCTCACCCTCACCTTCAGCTCGCGCGCACGCCCACACACAAACACCCAGACCGCCCACGCACCGGGCTGCACGACCGCGTGTGCGCATGCGGGGACATGGACACATGCAGGCACGCAGGCACGCAGGCACGCAGGCACGCAGGCACGCAGGCACGCAGGCACGCAGGCACGCAGGCACGCAGGCACGCAGGCACGCAGGCTCAGTATGGAATAGCCATGCATAGCCGCAACCGAAGCACCATGATACGTCTGGCTGATCAGGCCAGATGTCACCAGGCCCTGACAGTGTTTTAGTTTTGCAGAGATGGTCAAACATGCTCTGCCTCGCTGGTTGGAAACTGGAGATTCGGTACTGGGTCATATCCCCATGTCTCTGTGTCCAGACGTACTCCTTGGGTACTCCTGGGCTCTTCGGACTACTGGGCCCACTGTGCCTTGAGCCCTCGACCCCCAACAGCACACAATTCTTGCTTGTCTTGCTTGTTCTTGGCAAAAGAATAAAGGGGTCTAGAATCTAGAGAGAACCACAGGAGTGGCTCTAGCGAACCGGCGAGACCACATGCGTGCCTGCGTGCCTGCGTGCCTGCGTGCCTGCGTGCCTGCGTGGGTGCGTGGGTGCGTGCCTGCGTGCCTGCGTGCCTGCGTGCCTGCGTGCCTGCGTGCCTGCGCGCCTGCGCGCCTGCGCGCCTGCGTGCCTGCGTGCCTGCGTGCCTGCGTGGGTGCGTGGGTGTGTGGGTGTGTGGGTGTGTGGGTGTGTGTGCACGCTCTTGTTTGTCAAGTTAGACTCAGGAGTTGCGCACGCGCGCAAGCATGAGTGCACCTCAATGCGAAAATACCGGGGCCCACGGCATCAGCAACCTACCGCGTGCATTGAAGCCACGGTTGTCGATGGGGTATCCAGCCTGAGCAGTTGGACGACCTTGCGCGAGTCAATTTAGCGGCATTATGCGGCATTATGACTCCGTCGAAAAGAGGGTGTGAACCTGTGTGGGTAGGCGTGTACTTGTGGTTTGCTTTGTGCAGTTGCTGGACTTGATGTACAAGCACGAGTGCGATCCTCACAACACGGCTGGCCCCCCAGAGAATGCGTTCATGACATTCAATCGAGTGCCACATTCCGTGCGGCATGTTTCGCATGCTCATTGTCACTTAATTGATTTAGGTTGGTATCTTCGTTCCAGCTGGACATGGTGAGGTGGCTTGCCGTTCCCATTACAGTTGTTGAACAGAGGGCTAGCAGGAGAGAACTCCCACTTTGATGACTGCCTTACTCGCCTGACCAGGAGATCACGGAGCTCTGTGAGGAAATGTGAGAGCCTGAAAAGCTTCCTTGACCTACAGAGCCTCAGTATTCCTCAGATTCTCTTCGTAAGACCCACTTGTGTGGAAGCCGCCGAAGTCCGAGCGGAAGGCTAGATGTGCCCATAGCCACACTTTAGTTAGTTACGTCATCGGAGCCGGGTATGCCCAAAAAACCAGGCAGAGAGCCTTTTCGGAGGCTTTTCGAAGGGAGATGGACGCATGCCAGGCGGTGTGGCTTTTCAGCTGGCCCTGTCGCTTCACAAGGGTGAAATATTTGAACTCTGGCAAGAGGATGAGGGTTTACGTCAGGGCCTTTCCGAGGCACTTTGGGCTCCAAAACTGCCGTCGCTTGGGTGTCGCTTTGGGCGTCGCTCTGACATCTGATCAAAAAGCCTTCCCCAGCTATGAGGGCTCAGATTTACTTATTCCAGGGGTGTCGCTTTTCAGGTGGTCCCGCGCTTTACAGAGTTTTGGTGCCAGGTGTCCCGTTCGAATTAACTCACAAGAGCCGCGAGTTTTGTCTGATGCTCACATGTTGATCCCAATATGAAGATACGATATGATGTGTGTACACAGTCGGAGAAAGGTGTGGCGAGGAGCCTGAGACCGTCATCATTGATGAGAAGGCGCAGCTTCGAATACAGGCTTCAATCCAAGAAGATCCAAGAAGTCATCTCTGTGAGATTCTGCACAGGCCAAGATGGCGCTCGCTGGCTTTGCGCAGCGGCCTTGGCTGCGCTCGGCAGTGTGATAGCAGATAGGCTGAAGTAGTGTCGGGCAAATGCTGTACTTGCTAAACTTTGTACTCGTACTTGTCTTTCCAACCGAAAGTGGAGTGCCTGCTTCCTTGCAGTGCTAAGTCACAGCACCGAGAAGGAGGCCTTGGACCATGAGGAAGTGCTCCTGCGCGGGCCTCGCGCACTGCCAGCAGCTTTGCCTGGAAGCCAGGCTTTCCGGGCCATGCCAAGATGTGTCGTCACATGCAGTGTCGTGCACATCGGCAGCATGCCCTACCATGGGGCAAGAACGCCGATGGCCTGAATTTGTGCAAGCCGGTCAACACCTTCCCCCAAAGTGTCCCCAGGCAGTCCTAGGTCCTAGCTGTATCCCAGCCAGACATAGTTGGGCCAGAAAGGTTTTCCGCATCATTTTCTCTGCTGCCCTTCAGGTGGGACGTGCCATCGTCGATTCACAGACTGCACATGTTCGGATCAGGCTGCCTCATGTCACTGTCAGATGCGCGCTCATGTCGGGTAAGGACTTGCGAGTCAGATTTTAAAGGCGGCTTTCTGAGGAGCGAACCATGTGCACAAGGCTAGAAACGCCGGTATGGCCCATCACGCTGGTTCCCTGTCGTGTGCGTGTGCGCAGGTCGTTACCGGTTCTACGTGGAGAGGCGAGGGCTGGAGGCAAGATCCCATCATGGACTCAGTTTCACCCTTGTGCAGTATTTGCTCAGTATTGGTTCTTCATTACATATCAGCTTCGCCCTGCATGAATTTGCTCCGCAACCCTTCGCGGGCAAGATGGTCATGTCGAACAGACACCTCACGGCTAGTCTATGCGGCTCGGCTACTATTGCTGGTACTGTGCGCTGATGTCTGCTGCAACACGATAGACCCCTGGGGCAGAGACAATACATTGCGCGAAGGAGCCGCCTGTGGAGGTTTTCAAGCCGGTTCACCCCTTCATGCTGTTTGGGTCTCAGATGTGGATGCAGTCGAGAAGCCATTTAAAGAACGCCAGATCACAGAAGGCGACCAGTGGTTGCCATCATGCTTTCGGCAAGAGTTGCGGGGTCTGTACTATACAGAGAATGTGATTCTGCAAAGCTGGCGTCCGGGGCGTACTGTACAGTGCCGCAATTAATGGGCTGCCAAGCGAGCTGACATGACGAGCGCCTTGTCCAGGCAGTGGGATGTTTTGACCCATCCTGGCAAGAGCCGCTGAGCTCGCATTGGCCCTTTGCCCACCCCCTCCACCCCCCTTGATGTGTGGTTGTAGGCTTTGAGTTTAATGTCTGGGATTGAGGCTTGGGGCCTAGGCGTGGTTTAGGGTTACTTGTAGGATTGTTTCGGGCTTAGGATTTAGGATTCAATCAAGGTTGAGGGAGCTGCTGTCAGGGTTTCGTTTAGGTTTGTAGCTCAAGACGCTTAGGGCTAGTTTAGGAGGGAGGAGGCGATCACACAACCATTTGTGCACGAAACATCGTCATGGCTTCGGACAGAGTTTCTGGAGGACATTTTGCATATGATCCTGCAGTATATACTAAATGTTTTTGTTTTCTATTGGGCAGTGTACATCATGATATACGAAACATGTGATGCTATTTATTGTATATTGCTTGTTGTATATCAAGCATGCAGTATTTCGTGTTAAGAAGATTCAGTTTCTAGTATTGTTCATTAGTACATGCTTGCAGTCTAGATCAGTCGTTGTAGATGGTGTATTTACCATATACTGCGTACCGCAAATTTGCTATATATTCTACTTCTACTGTGTACCGCATATTAACGATGTATTCTGTTTTACGTTGTATATTATGTTGTTTGTGTGTTGATGTGCGTTGTGCATTGTATATTTGCTAGTAGTATACTCTACTAGATGCACAAAGCAAAAACATTAAGTATTAATTGTTGAATCTTCAGAAGCCATATCATACGCCATAAACTTCCTATTGCACACCTATGGCTACCGAAGCCCACGTCTCCAAGGCTCACCCCCCCCCCCGCCGCCGCCCGACACCACATTTTTATGAATACTAAAACCAACGCTGGCGCAGCCGAGACGCCAGTCTGTGAAGGTTAACGGAAGCTCATGTAAGCTGCTGCTCCAAGGCACGAAGAAGAAACCGCCGACTGTCAAGGGCATGTGCGACTGGCGCAATCCAATGGGCTGCTCGTAAGAAAAAAGCAGAGCCCACGGCAGTCGTGTGATGGTGTGACGTCCTTGTCGATGGAGTGTAGTCCAGATATGGCGCCTGGCGTCCCAAGGTGTTGACAAACAGGATTTGTTTTACGAAAGAGAATGAGCCTTTCAACTGTCAAGCAGAGGCTTCGCTTGCCACGTGGACGACTCGAGACCACCTACTGAGTTTGTGGGATGCTCCCCGACTCAAATATTGGCAATGATCGGTTTTGCTCTGCCTCAGCTGCTTTCGCATTCCTGGTCCAGAGAATGAGTTTGCCTGCTCACATTGACAGCATCAGCAATATCAAGAATCGTCTGCACAGACTCCTGCTCGCCTTGCAGCCTCTCGCATTGGTTTTGCAAGGCTTTGCTACTCCCAGTGTAAGCCAAGTACCAAGCGTAAGTGAGCAGTATTGAGCAGTGCTCGCAGTTGTGAACGAGGCTGTGCTTCGATTCAGGGTGCAAGCCTTGGCCGTTGCAGCAGCCGCATAACGTATGCGACAAGCAGCACTTCCGCACGTAGCAATCTGCGACAAGTTGCAACAGGAGGCCGTGCAAAGGGTTGTGACGGCCACGAATATCGGAGTTTAGTGGCCTGACAGCTGGTAGACGCATGACCTAGGTGAAGCTTGGGTCGCTCATTTTGTTTCCAGTCAGCACACTGATGAGAAATGGACTGAAGGTCTGGAAGGAGGAGCCCAGGCAGGACCTGCTATGGCCAATGACACATGACTTTCCATATCCTGCACTAGGATGGCGTCTTGTGGTTTAACTCGTGCTTAATTTCGTAAAAGCGCAGAGTTGAACGTTCAGATGATTGAGCAGAATGAGGAAACAGGCCAGCGAATGCCAGCGACACATTTCAGTTCAGGGCAGCATGTGAAATTAAATGCACGAGGCCCAGGCATAGTTTCCTGATGTCTTCTCCACAACACTTGCTTTCGCCCACTCCCACAGGCGTTCGTTTCCGGAGCGTCTGTGCTGCCCATGAGGTTCTTGCCGTGGGCTCTGTAGTGAAGCTTGCTTCTTTCAAAGTGCAGAGCCGGAGTGAGAACAGTCAGAGCTGATAGCGTACTGGTGCAAACAGTTTATCCTATTTTGTCATGTTGTGGTCTTGCGAGTTTCTCTCTCGTGTTAGTCTGTCAGAATGGAGACGGATGGCGTTGACCCATAAGGCCGGTGCTGCTGAGCACTTTGTGCCCCGAGCGCTGGTGTGTTGCCTGGGGCGTTGATGTTGGTTCCAGCGAGGCTGCTCTGTGATCGCTGCTTCAATCGATGCCGTGCCTAGATGCGTCCAGGGCCAGTGCCGGTCGGTGCCTGCATGCCTCCAGGTGCGTGCTGTGCGCATCCTGCACCACGAGCTGGTCAACCTTCCACAGAAATCCCTTGCAGTCCCGGCTGGATTCCTCTCGACCCCACGCCTTCCGAAACCGGAAAGCACCAGACTCCGGATCTCAGGCCAACAAGCACATCTGGACCCTATGCCCCCCCCTCCCCCCCAATCAAAAAAGCACAAATAGTCAAAACAAAACACGGCTCCTGACCCTGTGCTGCCCGAAACCACCAAACCCAAAGACAACAATCACTGCCCTATGGCCCTGTGTAACATAGCGACTTGGGGGTCCACAGAGCTTTAGTTCTCTTCTTGGTTTCGGGGGACATGGGGTCCTCAGACTACTTGCTTTCTTTGGTTTTGAACATCAAGTAGGTCCGCAGTAGATTTTACTCACTGGTGCTCACTGGTGTCTACTGTTTTTTTGCTTACATGTGGTCCATCTCATGAGTTGAGGGGGAACATATATACAACTTATAATATTATATAAATGTGCAGAAATAAAATGAAATATAGAGTCTTGCTTACTGCGCTCGAGCCAGGCGCCGCCGGTGCTGGAGGCATGGCATGGCATGGCCTGTAGCTGTGCATATTCCCAGTCCGAAGTTCGAAGGGCAGGAGTGCAGGAGTTCAGGGCAAAGCGCCGCATTCGGATGATCCGGTTTGCTGCGAGGCCATAAATGCGCTGCGAACAGGCCTTCGCGAGGCAACCCTTCTCAGCATTGTTCTTAGTCTTCGCATTCTTCTTAGCTTCAAAGCGGAACACCAATTATGCGAGACATCAGTCAAAATGTACGATGCTTTTGCCTCGATGCTTCAACACTTGGATACGGGCGAGACTGGTTCAGTAGTGTTTGTATAAGCAAGCTCGCTGCACTGGATTCTCAAGATGTAGTGGTGTTCCGCTTGTGAACATCTGCATCGTGCTGATCGTGCAGGCATTGTATCCGGCAAGCTGGTGGACTTGGGATGGCTGGGAAGCAGGAAGCAGCGTGCTTGAAGTGTTACGAACATCTCTGAAAGCTAGAAACAACAGACCTGGCTGGACAGTCAACCTGAACGAGCAACGCTAGAAGTTGCACACGCCATGCCCCATTGCTGATAGTTGTTGCCGAGAGCTTTCTCTCTCCTGTTCGGCCAACCTTGTGCAGGTTGCATCAGTGTGATACTCATTCAGTACATCTTATCAAGAAGTGAGGACGCAAAGGGGGGGGGGGGGGGCAGGAGGAATACCCCATCCATGGGTCCCCTGAAGTTTCATGGTTTAGTATGTTCCACCTGGAATGTTTGTGTGTGGCTCTGGCCAATGTCCGATGCAGATGGCATGGAGGCGCCACCGCACCACTGCGGATATTCCCTTCCCGCTCAGGCAGAAGCGCTTCAACTGGACGCCATCGAGGCCGGAAACGAATTTCTGGTCTTCAATCGTTAGCCGCTAGCTTCAAAACCTGCAGCAGATGTTGCGTCTGTGAGGGTTACTAAAGCAAGGGGTGGTCAGTCATCTGTCAGTTTTGGTTGCTGCCCTGCTCATTTTTGTTAGCTGTCAGCTTCCTACTCCACAACAACAACAACAACAACAACAACAACTACTACTACTACTACTACTACTACTACTACTACTACTACTACTACTACTACTACTACTACTACTACTACTACTACTACTACTACTACTACTACTACTACTACTACTACTACTACTACTACTACTACTACTACTACTACTACTACTACTACTACTACTACTACACTACTACTACTACTACTACTACTACTACTACTACTACTACTACTACTACTACTACTACTACTACTACTACTACTACTACTACTACTACTACTACTAGGGTTGCGCGCCTCAGGGCGCCTGGTGCTTTGGGGTGTGTGAGGTGCTGGAAAGCATGGTTTTTGCGATGTATTTGGACATGTGTGTAAAAAGTCTCAAAACGCGAAGATCAAAGGACTTTTGGGCTTGCACTTGAGGGGTTGAGGCTGTAAGGTCAAAGGACTTTTGGGCTTGTTCTATGGGGTTTGGGGTTTAGGGTGTAAGGTCAAAGGACTTTTGGGTTTTTCTATGGGGTTTGGGGTTTAGGGTGTAAGGTCAAAGGACTTTTGGGTTTTTTCCATGGGGTTTGGGGTTTAGGGTGTAAGGTCAAAGGAACGCAGAACGTAAAGCAGCGTCCAAGCAACACAGCTGCGGAGGGAAGCCACGTGTTTTCTCCAAGATATGTGGTGGGTTTAAGGGTTTAAGGGTTTGGGGTTGAGGGGGCCTGAACAAGTGTGCAGACCTATGACGTGCGAATTGTCTGAAACACTCGCAAGAGTATTGCTACCTACAAGGATGGCCTGTTTCAGTGGCAGCGGCACGAGAGACATCATGGCTCAGTCAGGGAAACTCACGGGCCCGGACGTACCCAACCCCCCCCCCCCCCCCCCCTCCCCCCCCCCCTCCCCCCCCCCCCCCCCCCCCCCCAGCGGCAGGAAAAGACCAGGCGCCAGGAAGCGCGCATGGCTACTACTACTACTACTACTACTACTACTACTATACTACTACTACTACTACTACACTACTACTACTACTACTACTACTACTACTACTATACTACTACTACTACTACTACTACTGCTGCTACTGCTACTGCTACTGCTACTGCTACTGCTACTGCTACTGCTACTGCTACTGCTACTGCTATTACTACTACTACTACTACTACTACTACTACTACTACTACTACTACTACTACTACTACTACTACTACTACTACTACTACTACTACTACTGCTACTGCTACTGCTACTGCTACTGCTACTGCTACTGCTACTGCTACTGCTACTGCTACTGCTACTACTGCTACTACTGCTATTACTACTACTACTACTACTACGACGACGACGACGTGTTTGCTGGAATTCTATCAAAGCTGCTAGCAAAAGAGTTGAAGATACAGAAACTAAGGTTTGCCCTTGTCAAGATCATATTTGTAAAAAGGGTTTGCGCTACATTCCGCAATATTGTCCTGAGAAGTTGTCGTTATCGTGGAAATGGATTTGTTGGAGTCCCCTGTAAAAGATGCTGATGTATTCGCATGGTGTTTGCTACTCTCACAATACAGCGCCAGGCAGATAGTTCGACCCGTAGACTCCTGACACCGTGAGCCTCGGGGCCTTCTCCGGAATTAAATAATTCTACTCCGAACATCCCCCTGGGGTTGGGCGCTCCAGAGTAGACCGGGCGAGGAGAAGAGTTCCGGGCGAGGAGAAGAGTGGAGTTTAAATCTAACAACCCCACACCGAGGGTGATTTGAAACGGGGTCAAACGGGGTATGAATTACTTTGCTAGCCGGCGTAGTGAAAACGACACTTGTCGGCACTTCGCTACTCCAAGAGTCGTTGAAATCTGCATGCTACATGAAAGGCCCCGTAGCTCGAAACTTTCGGCCCGGGGATGTAGAACACCAGCCACCCGGCACGAAACGAACAACACTGACATGAGAGAGGCAACCAAACAAAATAAACAAACAACGCAGAACCTCAAGCATGTATCCCCCTCCCCCCGGATAAGCAAAACCCAGAGCTTGCTAGCGCCGCAGTATTTTGTACTACAGAGAAGCACAAAAACAACAACAATTGAATATTGTTATCTTTTGTGTTGTTGCATAGGAGATATCAAACAAAATCGAAGTCGCAAAAAGGTGCCTTCCCACAGTCCCCTCGGAGTCTATGTTTTTGTGGCAAGGTTGTGCTAGAGTCAAGGTTGTGCTTCTCCACGTGTTAGCTGCTAAATGCTGTTCGCTTCAAACCTGCAGCATGTTTTGCATCTGTGAGGTTGCTAAAGCAGGGGCTTATCCAATTGATCTTACAACAAGATGGCGCTGATGCATCATGATGCGTCTGTACACGGGATCACATCTTCTTCTCTTTCAAGAAACCCTGGCTCGGCAACATTCTGCAACGGTGTTGCGAAAATGGCCGCGTGAGCTAGAGCTCGCCACCAGCACGTGGATCTTTTCCGTTTCCATTCGGCAGGTCGGCAGGAGGAGCGTGACGGCGATTTGTTGGCACCATCTCTCAGCAGTCAGCATGTAAGTAAACCAGGATTGAGGTGTGTTTGCGTGTTGAGCTATGATGAGCTATGCATCAATGCCAGCAGCCGGATGACCTCTGAGGATTTGCCAGACCTTAGTCACCTTCTGAGACAGCTCATGGAGGTCTGATCAGCTATCGGCAGATCTGTCGGCACGCATCGGGCAATTTGCGAGGCGCTGCCTGATAGTGTGGCCGTCCAAAGGCCCAAAAAGCTGCGAGCTCAGTAACTTTGGCCCAATGGCATCAAGTTGAAGAGTCTTCTGTCACGTAGCTGGGCACTGATCTCAAGGATGAAGTGGCGCGCGGCAACCACCTTCTCGCAGCAGGAACGCCCCAGAGACATCCCAATTCAAACACGTGTGTTGCACATCTCTTGACTCATCATCCAGTATGTGATCGATTCCATTCATAACTTTCGGTTCTCTCTTTCTATTGCCGTCGGTAGCATTTGAATGCCTCTTGATTCGTCTCGCGTTATCAGGACTGGGAAGAGGAAGAGAGCTTCCTCAGGGGTCTGCAGCCACTCTCGCAGGAGGACTGCATCAGACAGACTGTATCAGTGTGCAAGACATTAAGGCATGCACATCATGAACTGCAAATGTTTGCCATGCAAGGACGCCCGCGTGCATGCTGACGCAGGCAGTGGCAAGGACTGAAGTCGAATTATAACATCCGATATGCAATGAGCCAAAAAGGCGTGTTGCTGTTGCAGGGTGTTGTAGTAGGATGCACGGGCCCTGCACCCTCTGAACCGTGGGCTGGGGCAACCTGAAGCGTGGCTGAGTTTGGCCCGAGGACGTTGATTTTCAAGAGCTTGTGGACTTCTTGGTCAGGAACGGAGAGCCACAGCCTTATACAAGCGATATGCGGGCCAGAGTTGCTGGGACGCCCGTGTTTTTTGACGATTGCGTCCCATCGTGTTCGGCCAGCTTCGCGTGAAAAAAGTATGAACGCATATGAACGCCACAAAAGCGAAGCTGCTCAGGTGTACCATCGGCTCCCTGCCAGGCAAAATTCGCAGACCAAAGAAGCAGCTAGAGAAACGGCCGCATCCTCAGCATACGTGCTATCAGGTGTTGTAAAGACATGTCTTGATTGCGTGCGAAAACTCGCGCCTGTGAACGGCCAAGCTAGTATAAGCTGAGATTTATTGCGGGCTTTGGGAGCAGCACTATATGGGGTACAGATCCAGGCCGGACCTTTTCGAGATTTTCGCGACCAAGAAGGACTGCGTCGTCCGCAGCGGACTGAGTCTTGTGAAGGGAGTGGCTGTGCAGGTTGGTGCAGTCTGGCACGCTCCGGCAAGAGCAAGCGCCGGTGAGACAGCTACATTGTGCTGCGTTGTTGAATCTCAAGGTCTGGCGGGCATCCAGCAAAAGGCGGCCGGAAATGCCAAGAACCAGAAAGGCTGTCCTCTGTTGGCGTATTCGGTGTGGTTTACTTTGTGCATCTTTGTACCAGTACTGTCGGCCAGTGACGGCAGATGCAACATACGCAACATGAGCACTCTTCCTGTCTGTCAGCTGCTTTGCAGTCGCAGGCTGTAGCTTAGATTCCATTTCTCTGAGCCGTGCTGCCTGAACGTCGACATTCTAAGGCTTTGCAACATCAAAGACGACTCCTTGCACGGTCAAAATCAATCGTCAAAACTCCTCTCTCAAAGATCCGTATCGAAACTTGGTGCGTGCTCAGGTCTGACCTTGAAGCATTAAATGCTCCGCGCAACCCCAGTGCGACACTGCTTGTAACCGCTGTGAAAGGAGCTGTGGGTCGAGAGCGAACTTTGGTTGATGCTCTCATCAGGCCCGGGGCGAGGCGTAGGACCTCTCAGTGTTTGGAGTTGTTTAGAGCGCTGTGTCCGAACACTGGTCTTGCACGTGCGGCGCCCGAGACCTCTAAGCCGCCGATTTCATGTCAATGGGAGGCCCCAGGTGCCCCCTTTGCACAGCCTTTGTACCATGCTGTGCAGGGTCTTGAAGAGTCGTGGTGCAGCTGTGGGCCTTGGGGAACTTGGGTCGCAGGCCTGCCCGTAATTGCTCGATCACACTTGCTACAGCATGGCTGTCTTGGAGAGGATTCTGATTGTTCTTTGAGTGCATGCGTGGCGCCCTCCAGCATCTCGGACAATGTCAGGCAACTTTGAAGCCACTTCTGCAGCAGCAGAAGCCGGCAATGCGGAAAATACGCCAGTTCCTTGCTGCGAAGAGCTCAATTTGTAGCATGGGAGCCAACTTCAAGGCTGTTCTCGAAGTCTCACACTGTGCCGGTACTGACATGTACTGAAGCTCTCAAGTTCCATCGTGTCAGTGTGAATACATGCTAAGTTGCGCGAGTGTTGTGTTGCACCGACTGAGGCCTTCCCGAGCATCTTTGAAATGGGTCTCGCTTGGGCGCCCAGTGCAGACAAGGAGCACAGGAGCTCGGAACCTCAACGTAAACTGTACATTAATGTACATTACATCTCTCTGGAATTCACGGCCATCGAGGTGTGGGGCTTTGCCAACATGGCAAGCCATAAAACATCGAGCGTTGAACATGGAGAGTGTCCAAGGACAGCACCGGACAAGTCGCCGTGACCCTGAGCGGCCGTGCGCCAACATCTTGTCCAGCTCAGTTCTTCATGAATGAAGTTGCTTGAAGTCGCATACTGATACTGCAGTATGAAGACTTTGAGACGCGAAGCAAGCCAAGGTGAAGGCCTGCATGGTCTGACAAAGGCGCAAAAGAGCGGTAAAGGCGCTCTGATGTGGCGTGTGCAGCGCGTGCATCACTTCTCGGTGCTGCGATCCTGAGTTCCCTGCACCATATGCCAGTTTATGCCAGGTGGCAATCGGTCCACCCCAGGGTCAAAACGGAAAGGCCCTATTCTGTTCACTTCTGTGCGCGGCCGTCTATCAGAGGAATTTCATGGCTGATCGTGGCTGCCCGACCGCAGGCGCCAACCCCGCCGTGCTGTCGGCAGAAGGCTCAGAGTGTCAACGAGCATCAGCGAGGATCAGCGAGTGTCGTGTCAACATTTTGGGCAGACACTAGAGACTAAAGAGGTGAGTCGCTCTGCATCTTTTGCAAATTCTACAAGAGCACAGTGCAACTGTTGATCTGCTCAGCGTACCTATTGGGCGCAAGTGCAGCACGGCAGTCGCCACACTCCAGTGACATCCTGAAATACTTGCCAAACTAACAAGGAGCGCATAGCTGCGCTTTGTCGTGCGTCGGCAGCCACTGCGACTGTCAGAAGCTGAGAAGCATTGCCAAGCCATTCGCACTGTGTTCGGCGTATTTCGGCGTTCGGGGATTCTTTCAGAAGCCACGAGGAACCTTCCGGGCCATATCAGCAAAAAAAGCTTGCACCGCAGACTCCAGAAACCTATACAGAAGCAGGGTGCCAGGAAAACGGTACCGTATAATCCCGAGTATAATCTGCGGTGTGGGGTATTTTCTGTGGTGTGAGGCGAGAGATTTATCCTCTGTTGCGACTACTGCCCACTGCCTGAGCGCTATGGCATTTTGCTGATCTCTTCCCATTTCCAGCTTCAGCCTCATGGCCCACCGGAACCCGGGTCCAAGTCAACAAAATACAGATCAACAGAGTCAGCGAATGGCCCCGCCCTTGCTTGGATTCAAAATCTGAATTGTAGAATTCCGTTGGTCAAAGAAGACACTCATTTTGTTCAGTGGAGTATGTTTGGCATGGCTTGCGTGTCCAATTGGCCACAAAACGCTCCTTTGCGGCCGTTGAATCGCTAAAGCCAGAGTGACAACGAGCCAGGCAACGGAACTAGGCTAGCTAGGCCAAGTCGTCGAGGCGATGCGCCCTTTCGCACCCCGTTCTTCTCAGCCAAGTGCAGCTAAGCTAGGCTAAGCCCACAAGCCACAGCCGTGCTGTGCCCCTAGTCAAGAAAATCACTCGACGCACAATTTCGGAGACTCCCCATCCAGGACTTCGATGGGCGGGTCAAGGCTTTGCTCCTCGACGTGCAGGATAACGGTGAACAATGCACCGAGTGTATCCACAAGCCACAGCTCGCTTCGGGTGATGCCCTGGTCGAGTCTGGCGGCTGGGGTACGAGAGACAAGTTCAGCTGCTCGAGAGCGTTGTGATCGTTGTGATCTCTCTGAGTGCCGTACAGGACAAGCAGGGCATCGAAGCCTTGGACGATTGCTTCGAGAATTTGAGCGAATGGTTGAGCAAGAAGGCCAGCACTCAGAAATCCGGCTGTTGAGCTCCCATCAGAAGGAACGACAAGGCCAAGTAGTTACAAACTGCCCCTGACAAGCCAAGTACTTAAGTACTCGTGCTGTAATCAACAAGCACTGATATCACTGATGGATGTGAATGGTCTGCTGCTGATCGCTGCACTGCCGAACTGGATCAGGGCGAGAGGAGTGCCATCGGGAATTGGTTCAGGCCCAAGGTGAGTGCACTGTAATCATGTGAAACATGTGGATCGCACTGGAAGGTGCCAACGTGTGTGAAATGGGGGGGGGGGTAACCAAAAGCACATGGAGCAGAAGATGCAAGGCGAAATGCAGCCTCATGCAGCCTCGTAGTCTGAGGCCAGGATACATCACGAAGCTGTTGGTGAACTGGAAGCCGACCTGCCACTTTACGACGTCTGCGCAGAATCATGGCTGAAGAAGACTGCCCTACCACAGCCTATCACGTGCCAGGGAGAGGATGCAGTGATTTTCCTTGAACGCCGGATGCTCGTCCCGGACTTTAGTAGTCCTTGGTGTCACTTCCAATAGGCAGAAGATCTGAGAAGAGCGCCCACGTACCTCTGAGCCAATACGGGGAGTGCTCTAGCTAACTATATAAATAGTCATTCACTGCTACTCATGCGCATGTGCACCTGTCAAAAGCCTTCCAATCCCCCGTGGATGTGCTATGTGTGAATCGACCTTCTGCCATGGCTACATCAAGCGGAACACTAAATGTCATGTGGCAAAGGCTGGGCGATGGTGCTGCCGCGGCGAGCTTAGCGGGCAATCGGGGAATCACCATGCAGCATCGTGCAGCTTTCTGTTTACAATGCGCAGTAATGTGCAGAAGTTCATACATTTTCCTCCGTCCATTGGTGGTGCTGAGTGTCTCAAGCATATTCCAGGTCTTCGTTGTGACGCCTTGGGATTTGCCATTGTCTGTCACTGCATCGCACAAAGTGTGCGATCTGTCCATGATTTCGGCTGCTTCACGCGCAAAGAGCACAGTATCACCCGGCATCACTCGGCTATACAAGCGGCGAGCTTTGGCCAAAACAAGAAGCCTCACTCTCTACTGTAGGCTTTGTGGTTTATTGTCGGATACAGGGCTTCGGGTTTAGGACCTGCAAACCCCAAACCATCAACAAGCAGGAAGGGTTTCTTCGAGCCTCCGTCCATGCGTGCTAAGACTGCAGCCTGTCGATTGCTTCCGGCGATTTCTCGAAGCTTTCTTTGGCGAGCAGCGAGTTTCGCAGCTTTTGGGCAGAGTGTCCGAAAAATGATCCGAGACCCAGACCTGGCAGCAGAGAAGCAAGCTGCAGAGTCACTGCAGAGTAAGATTCTTCAACATCGTCGACATGGCCCATACGGGACTGCCCCCAACATCTAGTAGGAGACGCCCTGCAGGCACACTGAAGATCCCAAACGCAGCGAAGCATTTTAAATTTAGCTGTGCCTAAACCATCTTGCGTCTTCAATCCGGAGCGGATGGCAAGCTGACATGAGCGGAGGCTCTGTTGATGTTGTAACACACGCTGAGCTTCTATGCGCCTTTGAGAAGCGAGACATGATGAGGCTTCGTTTCTGTTGTTAGTGGAGATATTGCGCGCCGATTTGTTTTCCACGGACATGCGGTGGGCTTGTGAGGTTGGGGCACGCATGGCCACACCACTTCTGACAGTTTATGAGGTCAGGGTGTGCGATTCGAATTTGGCTGTTCCAATAGAGGTGCTTGAGACAGCTGGCTCATGCTGGTTCCATGTGTAAGGAGATGACATTACAAAAGCGATGCTAGAGCCAGCCTCAAGCTGTTCCATAGGTTGCTCCAGAGTTTCTGGACTGCAGCTCAACGCAGCAGCACCCCCCCCCGCACCCCCAGAAGCACAACTCGAGAGTTGGATGCAAGCATGTTGTGAGCTTCGAGAACCCAGCAACGAGAGAGCAGTCCATAAGGCGCCATCCAGGAACCAAAGAAAGCTCTCGCCATGCCACATTCCATTCACATCATATCACATCCCTTTCATACACTTGTTCTTCGAAGGCGCCTCCGCCGGCTGTGATGTCTGCTGTATCGCGGCCGCGGCTTGGATTTTCTTCAGCTGTTACTTCGATTTACGTCATGTTTCTGCTACGATTGGCTGGCTCGTCTGGGCATAGAAGGAGCGTGCTGAAGTGGGGTCGTACTTGAGAAGCATCGTTTGTGAGCTGGTCGCTGCGGTGTTTGCACTGAGGTCTCGGGCTGCGTTCTTCATCTTCAACCCCTCCTTGGTGCTCTGGACTGCAATCAGCACTTTGACAAAAACCAAGGTGCTTGAGATGTCAGTGACCGAGCCACTGGCTGGCTGTGCCGGCTATGCTGGGTTCAAGAATCGCATGTGAGTCATATGAGTATGAATCTTCGCACATCCGTGTCATGCAGTCATACGTAGTGGTCAACATGCGGACACCGGGCATTGACTGCAGCACAGACATTTTTGCCCCAGGTGCCAAAGGAGCCGAAGCCAACAGAGGAGGCAGTTCAGGACAGAAGTAGCTCGCCCGGGCTGCATGAATCAACGTGCGATATGGTGCAAGGATGGCAGAGGCCATGCCCGCACTAGCCCGCACTCATGCTCGCGCGTGCACGCAAACCATGCGCACCTGACGATGGCATGGTGACGGTGGTGGATTGCTATTCTACTGGTAGAAGTTGTACGGGATAGGAAAGATTCGATAATTTCGATGCGAAGGTTGCGTGTTACAAGTATGAGGCCTCTTGGGTCCAAGGATGAAAAACCCAGCAAAGACACTGCCCAGCGGGGCCTAGCGTATGAGACCACAAAAGACCTCTGAGGTTCCGTGCACGACTGCGCAAGTCACACCCAAACTCCTACGTCCCATTCTGTGTTGTCGACTTTGGTGGCGTGGAGTATCAGAGATGTGAATGAATGCGGTCTCAGTGGGCAGGATGCGAAGATCATCTACTACTCACCTTCCTGCGCACCCATCGAAGAAAAAAGGTCGCAGGCAGGTCTTCTACGGACGCCACCACCCAGTCAACTGCGAGCCTTTGTCCAAGTCGAGTAAAGAGCTCTGCTGGATGTGAGACCAAACGGCCAGGTGGGCATGATCGAAGGCGAGTCGGGTGGCACACCGTGCAGCACGTGGAGTTGAGCGGTTTTACCTTCCCAAGAGTGGTGGGTCACTGCAGAAGTTTTCACTGTTAGGATTGAATTGCCGATTGCTGTCTCTATGGCATTTCAGGACAGTAATGAACAGTACCCGAGAACAGATGCCTGCCACCGGGTCCTGGCCAAGCTTGGTTTTGTCTGGGTGCGTGGGTGCTGAATCTAACTGACACCCACGATGGTTGGAGAAGAAGCATACCCAAGCAGCGTGCAAGCGTGTGCAAGGCTTGATCTCCTTCACAGCGCAGTTTAGCGGGCTGCAAGGCACGCCCTGGTTTGATAGATGTGCTTGGGTGCACCACGCCGAGGGTGGACGAGGGGGGGTGAAGGGTCGAGAGGGGTCACATGCATGATTTACAAATGCCAGAGTGGTGACATGTGGTGAGCAGCAGCAACAAGCTTAAGCTTCAGGAAGAACACCCTCGGGCACGCCGCCCACACTTCCACAGAAACTTTGCACGTACCGGGCTCGTTTGCACCATGACCATCGGAAGGGTGTCTCAGGTAGCACCATGGATCCATGAGGGCTTCCCTGGGAAACTGCTTTAGATGTCTCGACAAAGCACTCGCATCACAGCATCTCACAGACGCCTCCAAGTGATGCCTAAAGCTTCTTGCCTTGGTTTGTTCGAAAGGTGTTTGTTTCTAGCGGGGTCGGACAGTGCTGCAGTACTCGTGTTTCCAGCTTCCTCGTTTGCTGAACGCGGCTTTTGCATTGGACGTTACCAATCGCCAAACCCGAGTATCACTGTCCGACCCCAGAGCCTCGGGCCGTAGGTGCCTGGGGCACCGAATTTACTTGACGCTTTTTTGCTTGGAACAGGTACTGTACCCCCCCCCCCCCCAAGCGAACAGATTCCCGGGAGCGGGCGGTGCATCAACCCGAGGTTGTCCTTGTCTGCTTGTCTTGTTTTATCAGCCACGAGCCTGTGTGTTACAACAGCATCCCCAAAAGGCAATGATTGCACCAAGCCCCGCAAAGCCCTGAAGCCTAACAGCTCACACCCGCGATCTCCGGTTTGGCTTGCCTCGCTGCGGGGCAGGCCCCGGCACCTAGGCGGGTCACGTAGCCGTAAAATCAAGCGCAAAATTATACGTTGCAATAAAAGCACATTCAGCAACCAAGCGACCTGAGCATCATTGTCCGCAAGGCAGATTCAGCAAACGACGAAGGTCGCAATCACCAACCGCGCGACCGAGTATCACTCTCCGACCCCGATAGAAAACTCAGTATTGGAACAAGCCACATTCGACAAATGCAAAAGCCAAATGCAGCAAACGAGCAAGCTGGAGACCATCCACTGTCCGACCCCGGTAGGGAATTCAAGATTAGAACAAGCCAACATTCAACAACAGCATTCAACAAAAGCGCAGAAAGCCACACTCGACTTTGCTAAAGGTGTTGGGCAGTGATACTCGGGTCGCATGGTTGTTGGTTTCTAGCTTGTTGGTTTCCTGAATGTGGCCTCTGCGGTTGTTTACTGTTGCCGTTACTACTGTTGAATTTTCATGAAAATTTACGGTCTGTCTCTGGCTTGTGGTGGCAAACGGCTACGAGGCTAGGGAACGCAAAACTCAAGGCCGCACATCCACGGAGCAAGAGCTAATACAGCAACTGAGTCGGCAAATCGATCAGAGCCTTGCAACATGCATTAACGTCGCGAGCTGTTTCTGTTGGCAGGTCCGTTGAGGCACATTAGAACGAAGCAGCTGGCTTTCAGCGTGCTGGAGGCCTTGTGTAGGACAGGGATGCCAATATGATTTTAACAAAAAATGTCTTCGTTGCAATTTCCTCTTGAAGTCCTCTGATTTTCAATCGCATCTGAAGGTAGAGCCGCAGATTTGGATGGTGCTCGTAATGAGGCACGCCATGGCCGGCCGGCCCAGCCGTTCACGTGGCTTTTACCCCCCCCCCCCTAGTTGTACGTAGCGCAGCTTCGCTAGAATCCATCTGCACCTTGGGGAGCCGGAGTAGCGATACAAGTGGCCAGGATCAGGGTTTGACTTCAAGAAGGAAGCCGCTGCTTAATGTTGTTTCCTCCGGCCGTGCGGAGGGTAGGTAGGCGAGGGTTTTTAAATCATGTTCGGGACATCAGATTGTGCAACTAAGGAATATTGTGGGGTGATTCCAAAATTCTAAAGCACATGAGACCAGCACATACCAGCCTTGGTGATGGCCATGTGGATCTTCATGGTTGACGATCTGAGAAATTGGGTGCCACAGGACGAAACAACAGAAGTGCTTTGAGCACGCCGAGGTCAATGCAGATTCGCGGGGTGGGGAGCCGAAGTTTGATGAGGTGCCTTGCAGGGCTGTTGCCGTACAGCTGCAAAGTTCTGATGGTTTCAGCTTCAAAACTACTTGCGCAATGCTGCGCATCAACCGTTTTGTTGCAGCCTTTGCGCTCTGATTCGGCTTCGTTTACGCCAGGAAAGCCTTCCAGAGAGCACGCTGCAGGCCTATACCTGCCACATTTAATGAAGTGCCCCTCAATTCTCGCGAAAAGCAGAAGCAGGAGGCACGTTCAAACTCAGATATCATTGATTACTACTTGACCAGGACACATGTATTTGAGTGAAACAGGCCTTCTAAAATCGCATGGGCGGTCGGGCATTTGATATGTTGTGATACCTTTGGACCTTTTGGCTCAAGGCTTCGGCCTTGCGAATCAACGAAAGTTCGAGCAAACAGCGGTTGGCATCTGACCTTTCTGGCCAGTTCAGAGAATGCCGACATGTGCAGATCCATGCCTCTGTGGTCATAGTGACATATAGGGACCATAGTGTCAGTGAAGCATTCGGCCTGGGACTGTCAACCGCTGCTCAAGCTTCCGCTCTTGACAGCACGGGCTGATTGCCCAACGGAAGAAGAATGTGTTCTTGTTGCCTTTTACTTTCGTCGTTGATTGTCATTGGCATTCGAGAGTCAATGACAAGCAGCATATGGCATCGCACGAATTGGCACAGCCTTCTAGTTAGTGCACGGCCTGCACCGATGTGATACTTCGTTGGTCAAGTGCGGAAGTTGCGCCGGGTACTGACAAGTGCCAACGTGCGGGCTTCACTTCTTGCAAGTTTTAATTACTTGCTGCGAATCGATGGCAGATTTCAGCCATTGCTCCAGGCCGGATCATTGCAGCTCCTGCCTACCCCTCTTGACGCGTTCTTGTCGCAGCAAGCGCTCATTTGGTAGATGCTCCACAGTCTGTTGGCCAGGTTGTTCGATGAATTGATGGCGGACGCAAAACCGCAGGACATGGCAACATTCCGGCAAGATCCCAAACGTAGGATCGGGATGGCTTTCCTACCAGCAGTTGCGTTGATTTGAAGGCACCCTGGGCACCCTGGGTTCTGGGGGTCGGGGAGCCAGATTGTTTAGAGTTTCGGTTGAATTGTTTCATCGTTTTGGGGGCAAGGATTGGCATTTCCGCTCCCCGCTGGAACTATGGAATGAGCAAGAACTGGCATGCACACAAGTAAGCTTGAGTAGAAGGGCAAAGTGGTGCTTTGAGAGGAATTGTCGCCTGCTTCGCCATCGGCAGACACTGCGCATGAACACAATTTCACGATGGCACCTGGCTCAGTTGTGTATATTATCGAAGGCGCAGTTGCCTGTTTGCGTAGAGATGGCGGCTAGGAGGCTTGACCTTTTTAGGAGAAGATCTGTTGAGGCCCCAGCAGCTCCGAATGCTCTGTTTGGTTCGACATCGAAGTTGCTTTTGACGTCGAAGGGTTCCGAAGTAGCGGCGGCCCAATCTCCAAAGCTCTGCTGCGGCTTGGGTTTTGCCACTGCCGTGTCAAAGAATGAACGAAACAGCTCAGCCCCCAACATTTGGAAGTCAATAGCGTAGCTGTCGTCGCACAGTCCCACAAAATGCTTGTGAACAGAGACATTTGGCAGAGTACGTAAATCGTGATGTGCGCTCCCACATTGCACATTGCAGGTGATTCTGCGAAGCGGAGAAAGTAAGCCAGACTTTCCACTGCGACACAACATTTATTGCCGGTACGGTAAAGCAGTATCTAGCGCGAAAAGCAAGACCCCTCAATTCTGTGGATTAGTTCCCTTGGGCTGCTTCAGGCTTTGGTATGAATGTGAAAAAATCCTGAGTTGAGAAACTGTTCGGCAAAAGCTGGATGTCGATTGAATGCCGTTTCACCGGCCGACATGACATGGTCTTGAAGGTGCGCCAGAGGGACCACATGTTGTTTTTTTTTCAGGTGGTTCCTGAAGCCACTAAACCTGCATGGCCGCGCGGAGTTGGAAATTGCACATGGAGAGGAATATTGTTTAAGGATTTCTAGGAAAACCTCTGTTTCCTCTGTATTTTGTTCGGAAAAGCTTTTTTTTTCAACAGAGTCTAATAGGAAAACCTTCATTTTCTCCATAGTGTCAGAGGAAAATCTATATTTTCTTGGTTACGAAACCTTTGTTTTATTTTGTTACTCGGAAAACCTCTATTTCTCCATATTCTAATAGGAAAACCTTAAGCTTGTATTTTCTCTGCATATTCTAGTAGGAAATCTTTTTCTTCTACATTTCAACAGGAAAGCCTCTATTGTCTTTATGTGTTTTAAGGCAAACCTTTATTTTTGACTCTAAGTCCTTCTGTTGTCTCGGCAAGCGACCACGGAAAGGCAGCAGAGGAACGAAGGAAGGTACGAAGGAAGGATTGGTTCTCACATTCTACTCTTCGACTGTTATGTTCTTATATTGTTATACTATGATTTCTTTTATCACAACATTATAGCATCATAACTTGGGATGTTCCCCCTTATACTGTTCCAACAGTCCTTAATGGGGATTATAGTCCCCCAACTATAATCCCGATTAAGGACTGCTAATATAGGGGAACATCACATATTATAACATGGTACGATTTTCCTAGTATATCTTGATAATACTATAGCACATGTTTAAGGCGTGCAAGCTTGCTTCAAAGCATGAGTCTTTTGCAGCCCATCATGCGAGCATTGTGTTTGCAAATTGGGGGGGGGGGGGGGGGGTGGCAACCCCCGGATTTTTTGAGTCGTGTAGGCTTGTTTCAAACCACATGAATCCTTTTTAAAACCTGTCACGCGAAAATTGTGTTTGCAAATGGCGGGCTGTGCCCCCCCAACTGCCCTGCTGTTGCCTGCAACTCCCGCCGATTAAGTCGTGCAAAAGCTTGCTTCAAAGCAGACCTTTGTGAAACCCATCATGCGAGCATTGTGTTTGCAAGTTGGGGGCTGGGCCCCCCCCCAACCCCTTGCTTTTGTTTGCAACCCTCCCGCCGTTTTAAGTCGTGCAAAGGCTTGCTTCAAAGCATATGATTATTATTGAAGAAGAACAAGAAGAACTTTGCGACGTGCACGGCCGGGTAGATCAACCGCGCACCAAGAAAGGACCAACGATCTTTTCTTGGAACCTATCATGCGAGCATGGTGTTTGCAAAGGGGGCGGGGTGGGCTACACCCCGCCAACCCCCCCGCCCCTTGCCTTTGTAAACGGGAAAAGCTTCCCCCCCGGGCTGTTTTAAGCCGTGCCATTTTGCCTCAGCCTCCACATGAAAATATCGCGAAAGCGCCTCCGCAGCAAACGAAACGCACCCAGCCTCTACAGCAAAAACAACGTGCGGCCTCCGCAAGAAAAACGGCGCCCTGCCTTCACAGCACAAAAGCACGCCAGGCATCTTTGTACGGCCCTTGGAGAGGACTTGCATTTAAACAAGCACGAATCCTCTCCGAACCCTTCACGCCAGCATTATGTTTCTTCTTTCTGTCGTTTTTGCCTTCTGTCTGTCTATAAATGTAGAGAACAAGAAAATATCATGAGAAAGCAGAGGTTGTCCCATGAAAGCAAAGATTCCCTGCTGAAGTGCACAGAGAATAGAGGTTTCCTACTCAAAGGAGAAAGTTTAGGTTTTCTTAACGGCAATATAGAGAAACTGAGATTTTCTAGTAAGATAGATGTTTTCCGAGTAAAAATATCAAGAAATTAGAGGTTTTCCAATTAAAACATAGAGAAAATAGAGGTTACCCATTTAAATATAGCGAATTAGCTTACGGCACAAGAGCCAAGCCATTAAGTTGCAAAATGGAAATCCCAGATTAATTTTTCAGCCATTAATCAAGAGGTTGCGGTCTGTCTTGCTGCCTTCCGACCTTTTGTTGTTCGATAGTGTTTTCCAGTTGCGTGCCTGAGGTTGATACATCGACCATGTCGACCAGAGGCAAGATTGGCAGGAGATTTTGCATATACCGAGTAACTTCCAAATGTCGAAGCTGGCAGCAGTCGTCGCAATTATTACTTCTTACCGGGCTACACACAGAGAGCTACACTGCAAACAGTCCCCCTTCTGGTTTCCTGGGCGGTCTCAGCTCGGAGCTGTGGATCTCTGAGATCGAAAAATTGTGTCTGGGAATAGAAACATTAGAAAGTGATGCGAGAGTCGCGGTCAGATACTCTCTTGGCGTCGGAAGATGTCGTCGACCCGATGACGACTTGGCGGGATGTATCCAGCAGCTCCCTTGATACCGAAGGCTGAAATGGCTGATGGTCCCCATACAGCATGACACGTTGCTGCAAATGTCACTAAGGCAGGCTGTCGCAGCATATCTCCAGAATCCAGAGGATGCCATACCAGAGGCCGGCCGAACATCCACGCGCCTTTTTTGCAAAACACTGTAACCTGTGACTTGTCCAGGAGCTGTTGCAAGAAGAGCTCGCAGATGAGGAGGCGGATATGGTGACCGCCTGAGTTCCTAGTGTCCTAGTGAATGGCCAAGAGGATCTTCCCTTTGGTTGCTTCTGGGGTCCTTCGAGGTTTGGCGGTCGCTTATGGCTTTCCGGGTTTGGTTAGTTTGGTTATGTTCGGTCGTGGGGGTTAACGGTGTTAGCCATTCGGTGGGTTGCTGCGTGCAGTACCGGCTGGCGCTACGGCTGCGGGGTTTTCTCTCACATGAGGCCTTTCCCTGTAGCATGTGCCTAGCACCTCTTCATAAGTCGGGCTTCACATGCTGCATATGCTTTGCAAGCTTCGCAAGCCCGACAGGAGCCAGCTACGTATGCAGAGCAGCTTGAGGCCTGTGACCGCAAACTCACGGCAGAAGCCGAGACGCCTAAAGTCGCCCGAAGGGAAGGTCGGAAAGGTCGGGAAGGTATTTTTCCTCTAGTACGATATTGCCGTTATTTACAGGAAAGTGGCTCTTTAAGTGTGTTGCATGGTGGTACTTGGCGTAGGTTTAACATGACGTGAAAAAGCTGTACACCCAGCTTCTGTCTTTGACCAGTCTTCGTGGCCGCACGCCATGGCCGGGATCTCGGCCTTTTTGGCCTTTGCTACAGCTGGCAAGCCCTCGCCGCTCCATAGGAGCAAGCATGAAAGCTGTAGGATGCTGTAGGGGATGAGCTTTGCAAAGCCATGATGCTTTGACAATTCCCAAACATGCCAAACATGCGCCAAGTGTCAGTCCGTACTCAGGCAAATCTGCCACAAAGCAGGGAGCAAGCCGAGGCAAGACCACGAACTGACCACGAAGCTAGTTGAACATGCTAAGAATGAGATCGAGTGCTTCATGCTAGCCTTTTTGTTGTCCACCTTAAGTTTCAAGCTTGCCATTCCCGAGCGTCGATGGTCAGGCCTACCTGCCGAACGTTTGGAATAGAGCTCCGCCGCAGATGCTGCAACACCAGCTCCAGCTACTTCAACTTCACTCCCAGGTGCTTTTCTATCCTGCCTTGCATGTGTTTGCTAATTCATGTTGCGGTTGGTCAGATGCAGAAGTGAAGACATAGCGGTGTGCTTGTACATTCTTGTCCTACAAAGCGTTCAGTAGCTTTAGCATCTTTAGCCATCCTCCTCATCGTCACACTGGGGTGTGCTAGTCTAACTTAGTGAGCTTAACTTAGTGAGCTCGTGAGCTCGTGCTGCCGCTGTCAAGAAATGGTCTGACAGGCAGCACATGGAACTCCAGAGCTGCATTGTGTGCAGGGGATCCGCACATCGGGAGAACACAACGTAGCGCAGAGTGAGGCTGTTTGTAGTTTGAGCCGGGGCACTTTCGATGTGTCCAGGCAATGGGATACCCACACATGCTCAATGAGGCCTTTGATGCAGTGCAGCCCCATCCGACCCCTCAATCCGATAGCCTCGAGCGTAGAGTTCTGCCGCCTGTGGGGAATTTCCAAAGCACTGGTCGGCCGTGAGCTGAAACCTGAGTAGAGCGGTTGCCTGCCAAATCTGCTCAACTCAAGACCTGCCTAGCCTACCCTACCCTACAACGGGATTAGAAGATGTGCAGGGTGGCGGATGCAGAGGTCATCTCCCAACACAGGTGCATCAATTGGCGTGTTCATTGATTGATCCGGGCATCTACAGCAGCACATGGCACAGTGAACCACAGTATGTATGTACTTGGTAGGAAACTCGATGAAACTGTGCTTGTGCGTGTCATGTAGCTTGGAGGTGCACCTTCGGCAGGCCACGCTCTTCCACATGCCTCCTGGATTTGTGCCAATGCAGGCAATGCCCTCAACCCTGAGCAGTTTTCTGCACGCGGGTGCGAAAAAAAGGTGATGCACTGGCATGGCCTCGCCCCAGGCCATGAAAGGAGGTCTGTGACCATGCCGTCCGTCCAGCAGGCGCATTGCGTGACAGTGTTGTCCAAGCATCTTGAGGAGGCAGCAGGAGCAATCAGGAGCAATCCGTCCCTTATATGAAATGCGCCCCCCTCAACTCTCGAATGTTGAAACGGGCTTGGGCCAAAATTATTAAGAACACGTTGCAATATTCGAGGAGGGGATGTTTCACGGGGAATTGCCGTGCGGGGTAATTAGGATTCGTAAGAAGAAAGAGTGATCAAACTCGCGCGCACCTATGGGGAAGGACTGAAATCGAAACTGCTCCTACGCGCACGACAGTCGTGAGAAATGCAATTGTGCCAGCACGTTTTGAGTTTTCCATGACGGAGGCGGTGATGCGGGGTTTGGGGATACACGCTTTGGCGAAAAGCAAAAGGAGGGGGGGGGGTTTCAGGGGGGTGCAGGGGGCGGGGGGGGGGAAGGGGGGGGGGAAGGGGGGGGGGGGGGGGGGGGGGGGGGGGGGGGGGGGGGGGGGGGGGGGGGGGGGGGGGGGGAAGGGAGACCCAGACCTTCAAACCATGGATCCTAAAAAGGCTGAGTTCATTAATTCTTGAGCCTAAACCCTACTCAAGCTCAAAACCTGAATGCAAAACCCAAGGCCTTCAAGAGCCTCGACCCAAAAAATAAGATCCAAGGTCCTAATAACTAAGAACTGGATTGGCGCAGATGGCATTTCATTTGCTGCAGGAGGCCGAGTGGCACAGACCACCACCTGGAATTCCGTCGCCGAGTCAGGCAGCGTAGCGGGGGCCCAGATGCTACAGCGCCGTATGCTTAGAAAGACAATACGATGCATACGCTATACAATGTGAGCCTCAGGTGAGTCACAGACACCATGTCCATGTCATATCCCAAATCACCGATGCTAGTTCAGATCGTTGATGTCCCTCAGCTTGATATCATGTGATGTGGGCGTGGCAGGTTGCACACGAGGGCGCCACTCACACACCTTCACCGACCACGCTCACTGAGGACTTATCATTGTCCAGCTTGGTCATTCTCCAGTTAGTTCCGAGTGCATGTCAGAGCGGCCGTCGAGTGACGAGGTTTTGAAGCGCGCACAATGCCGACAGCTAGCAGACAAAAGGGTGGTGCCCTGCTCCATCGCAAGATTTTTGCAAGCGCGGCAGGAAGCTGCTCCAGAGGTGGAGCCCGATGAGCACAAAGCCGAACAGGCCAGTGAGGCGCATTCCTTAGCTGCCTATGCCAGAGACAATCAGAGACAGGGCAATAACTACAATCAGAATGTTGACAAGAATTGAAAGCCACAATGGCTATGGCAGAAGCGGCCCGTTAGAAGAGAGTGCTTCGAAAGGCCCAAGAACCCAAAAACGCCTACCTAAAGGGGGGGGGCGGTTCGCTTTGACTTTGGACATCTCGCGGGCAAGAGAACTCAAAAGGAGGCCCAGGCGGCGAAAACAAAGGCGGCTCATGATCTTTATCGATCGCTTGATGCTGTGCAAAGGGTTGGGTATGCTAGCGGAACTTGAGGCCACTTCAGCCAGATCCCGAAAGTCGCGCGGATTGCCCCCGCGCGGATTGGCCCGCCCTGCCCGGCAAACGGACAGCAACCGCTACTGGTGCAGCTTCCACCTCCAGCAGGCCCGAGAGCAGCCCAAGCAAATCGATGCAGAGCCCTTTGTGGAGAGATTTGGGACTGCGTGTTGGTAGACTCTGGTACTCGTAGGCGTTTGCTATCGTTTGCTGAAAGTTTACCAAGAGTGACTGCAGAGGCTTACACTCAATTCGCAGCTGGAGTCCCAGACTGCAGAAGCCGCCGCTGAAGATAGCATATGGACGAGACATAGACTGATAAGCTCAAGGGGCACTCTGTATGCTGCAACACAAGACCACGCTGCTTCAATTCGCTGGCACGTTGTGGCCAGCTGCTAGCTTGTACGAGCTGCGTACCTCAGCTCGGAACTGTACTAACTGTACTGCACGTCAATGTACGCACCTGGCCTTTTGACCATAAGGTGGTGCCTGCGATCATTGGCAAGAAGGGTTGCAACACCAGGACGCCTGACTGAGACTTTGCAACAGTGCCGCCAGCGATGTTGCCGAACTCAGAGTTCAGCCATGCTATACTGAAATTTGATGCAGGGCAATCTTCGAGAAGACCGGTGCAAAAATACGAGTTCGAGGACGAGGAAGTGGACACATGGAAACTTGCTTTATAGAGTTTTTCTTCACGTGTCCTCAGTCACGCCGTTGCAAATCTCCAAGAGATAAATTTTTGCCATGATGCCACGGGATGCCATGATGCTGTCAAGTCGGCAAAATTTGGCAGACCTGACGAGCCTCAAAAGCGTCATAAATGCATCTTGCTGGGCAGCATCGGGCAGCCAATGTGTGCAGGAAAACTTGGGTCTGGGTACGTTAACTTCATAAGGCTAGGGCGGCTAGGGACTTGCTTAGCCTCTGCCAAGGGGTGCTTCATCTCAGCGTTGCGGTGTTTGTGGGCTGCCTGCCGGCAGCGGCGACGGTCGGCGAAGGTATGCCCTTGTCCCACACGGCGGATTCGGGTCGAGCCAGCAAAAGTGCCGAGGACCGTTTCACCAAACCTTTCACACACCGTGGGCGCGGCGGGTTGTGTGTCGTTTCGGGGGGGGCACGCTTCGTCTTGCATGCCTTGGTCCGCTCCTCGGGCTCGGCGCGAACCGCGGCGGCCCTCCCCCCCGCTGCCTCATCTACTTTAAGCACAGCTTGTGGCCGCACTGGGGAGTTGGATGAGTTGGCCAGTATGTGACATTCAAATTGGTACACTGGAAGATGTTGCAGGCATCTCGTTTCACATCAGCAAGAACTTGTGCAACTAAGGAGGCTGCTTCAGGAAGAGAAGCACCAGCTGGCCTTATGGTCACAGTCTCGTCGAACTCCTTCGAGTGGAGCCTGGGACCAGCAGAGAGTTGCATTTTTTAATATGCACGTGCTAACGTAGAATCAAGGGGGCCGGCAGCTTGTTTAGTCACAAATACATAAATCGCCGTTGCAGCTCGCAACGACAGCTGCATTCGGAGGGATGGCTTTGTGGAAGCAGTGCGCCTGACTGGAGAACTTCTTGACCGGGTGCAGCACAAGATGTTGCTCCGCCGCATCAAATGCATGCTGCGAGTTGGTATGCTCACCACGGTCTTGTGATCATCTCTGCAGCTTGATGTACTCCAATGGTGAACTAGAAGGTAAAGCCCTGACCCCTGAGGTACGAGATGACTGTCGCTTGGACGCACGACATCTCAGCAAAGACGCGACACTGATCTTTTGTAGGCCTTTCACCCTGCAGAGACGGCAGTTCTGGGAACACTGAGGTTTGCTTCTGTGCAATATCTGCTTTTCTGTGCCATGCTCTCGTTTCCCGCCTAATCCAGCCTATGCGTGCCGAGGACAAACACAAACACCTGGGCGAACTTTGTTGGCAGGTGACTCTCCACAATGGGAACACCCACCGCCACGCACCAAGCATGCATAAGTCTCACAAGTCATATCCGCACATCCAGTCAATGATTCAAAAGGTCTTGCAGCCGGCCAGCTGGTAGCGGAGGACGGATCAGGTTGCTGAGCCACCTTTGCTCGTGCAACTTCAGGCCCCAGGTGTTCCGCCGTTCCACCCCCATTGAGATCTGTTGATGGCTGCTAGATGCTGCTTGTTGCTGCTTGTTGCTCCTCTTGGCAAGGATACGGGCGAGCCTGTGAAGCTTCAGCAGGGGTTTGGCATCCTCGGGCCACTTTCGCTTAAATGGATACAGAGAACGAGAACACGATACTTAGTCCCCACATCTTGATTCAAGGTCGAATGCGAGGGAAGCTGCTGCGAACCCGGAGACAGGTCTGCTCTGCAGCATAGAAGCTGGGGAAGACTATGTCGTGTGACATTGTGCTTGTTTGCCAGAGATGTATGGTCCCTCGGTCTGAAAGTTAAACCTAACCCGAGTGATTATAGGGTTTAGGGGTGCGTCCGGCGGGGTATATGCCAAGACGGTTGTCGCCCAGTCCGGTGTAGCGAAAGCAGCTTTCCATCCTTGGTATCTCCCGGTCAGACATGTCCAGCCATTCTCTAGCATGAGAATCATGAGAAAGAACTTTTATGGCACAGGCAAGTCACAGTGGCCCGCGAGCGAACAAGCGGCCTGTTCCTCAGTGGGTCGGGTCCCATCTGCCATTTTGCAAGTCAGAGAAGGCCAGTTTCAGCGCATGTGTCCGAAACAACTTCCGGAAACATGTTCAATAGGACGTGGCAAAGTGGTTGTTGGAGCTTGTAGGAGGTATGTTGACGCATAGCGAAAGTGATAACACGCGGGCGTGGACTTCAAGCCCCAGGCCAGCAATGCCGAGAACACGAGCAACGAGCCATGGGCGGCTTAGTACCGCTTACAACAAGAACCCACAGATATGTTGAACTGACAGGTTAAGGACAGGGGTTGTCCACATCATAAGCAGAAGCGATGCAAAAGCAAACACAAGCAAGCAGGGGAGCATACAACCCCCCCCCCCCAAAAAAAAAAAAAGCACCTTTGCTGCATGGGGATCGGGGGCAGGTTGGCAGAGTGTTGGGAAGGGGCAACTTCAAGCATATACTTCTCAAGAAGCTGGCTAATGTAAGGCAAAAACCGAAGTGAGCATGCACTCACGGGCAAGATCTAGATCTTGCAGGTTCCCAGATTGCACCCTGCGCGTCTTTGTGTTGCCGTCGTGACGCTGAGGATGTTGACGTCATGGCCACAGGCAGCGAGCGATAGGGAGTGCTCTGCTGAAGATGATTAGCATCGTGGTATCACGAGATTCCGATACCTCATGGATTGTCACAGACTGGTAGGCTCCTTTCTGGGTAGATGCATGGCAACTGTGCGTGTTCAAAGAGAAAGCAGGACTGGCGCGTTGATGAGAAAGGGACCGTGCTGAAAGGGAAGATGTTCCTGGCACGTGGACACCCTGGATGCTTCTGCCTGTGACAACTTGCCCCGATATGCATCGTACTAGTACCACCTACAGCAATCTTTGCATAAAGTCTGGTGTCGCTGGTTTCGTCGGATACGTCGGTTCGGGATGGCCAACGTACGCTGCAGCGTCAGAGTGTGCAAGGCATGAATCTGTATGCGACATGTAGTCCTATGGCCTAATGTATTGGCAACTAGCGGTTACAGAGACTGTAGAATCATTTGTTTCAAGTCTTTGGGCTTCATTATAGGACATCCCAAACTAACTATTCCTGCATTCCGCTCATGACTTTCATGTCTTAAATCATCAATCAGACAGTACCCTCGTTCGTTCATCCACCAACTTTCTCAGGTGTTACGGCATGTGCAAGTTCATGCCTGAAGAAAATTGGAAGATGGATCTTAGATAGCAATAGTTGTTGCTACCATGACATTTCTACAACCTTTGTCTGTCTCTCCTGTGCGTTTTTGCTATCCAGAATTTAGTGCGAAAATTCGCCAGCCCACAAGCATGGGACCGAATGTATTGAAATGCTCACTTCGAGTCCTACGAAATCGGAAGTCCAAACTCCATCCTTGTAAGCCAGGACATCAAGCGATGAATTCCAAAAGACCATGCGAAATCAACTTAGCGGCTTAGCGTTCGCTCACAGTCACACATGCGCACGTAATTAGGCATGTTGACAGCTGGCGCTAGCAGCTGTGTAAGACGTGGTAACAGCCCAAGGTTCTTCCATTGCCACACGATAACACACCAAAGAAGACCCCATGTCCAGGAAGTAAAGAAACTGGGAGAACATGCTAAGTGGTAACAAATTCTGAAAATTACTGTATGAAGAACTGAGACCCAGTAGCTAGATAAGGCGCCTTAACTATAGGTACTGCAGCTGCCGACTTCACACCGAAACAACTTTGAAGCCATTGACCGGTCACGCAGCAGCTCCAGTCAGCTGCAGATCCAGCTCTGAAGGGGCTGACTCTGTAGGGTCGCACAAGCTCACTGGCAGAATTGCTACGCTTTGGTGGTGCCTGGTCATTCATTATCAAATATGCAAGTGAATGGCTTGATGCGTCTTCAAGCAGCCTGTTGTCCTCGTCTTGACACGCACTCACCAAAGACAGCGCAGTGAACTCGAAAGGGACATGCGTGCACCGACATGTGATCACGATTGCTGCGCTGTGGCCATCGGGCATGTCAAATTGATGCCGGTCAACCGTACGGCCATTCTGGAACAAATAGCTCCAGTTTCGAGTGTCGCGCTAGGCCCCAGAAGCAAGAATGACTGCTGCACCATGGGTTTCTGGTATTGGTAGTGTGCACAGATTTGAATTTGATTGGAAACACCAGGTTGTGCAGAATGCAGGAACATATCTGGCATACTGGTGGTTTGTCAGCTGTCAGGAGGTCTTGCTTTCTGAGCGTGCTTGAGATGCACGCTGTTGTGGCAATTGTTCTTGGATAGTGTTACTTAGTGTTACTTATGGTTGCCATGGCCTGGCCAGATCACAGCCAGGCCATCCTGCAGAACTGCTACAATGTCTTCCGCCTCCTGCATTGGGCTGAGCAGTCTCTGCGGCGCTCAGCAGCATCACCCAAGTTAGGTCTGATGCTGTCATACCAAACGTTACCGCCCTGCCAAATTCGCAAGAAGCTCACGTGGCATGTAGACATATTGCTTTCCCAGGCATGGAGAAGTACAGGCATTTGTTAAGGTCGGGCTTGCCAGTCTTTGCAGAATGCTTTGTTGCTCGTTTGGCAACAGTTCAACCAACTTGAAAAGAGAAGCCAGAGCCGAACTTGGGGTGGGTCGTTTGGGCACATCGGTCCCTGCCATTGTCCGGCCAGGCACAGTCCATGCACAAGCTCTTTGACTTGCTGGAGGCCGTCCATTCTTTGCTCCGCATGGAAGACTTTGGAAGATTCCTTCTACCTTGAAACACTCACAAGCCCAAACGTCACCTTGATCTAGGACTTTGCCGTTCCAGCAGGCCTCAAGCTTCAGGAAGCTAATTCTTATCTTCACAGGGCTGCATTTGGGAGCAATACTCAGACACATGATGACTCAATTCTGACACTACGAAGATCTACGAAACTCTGGGCTCATGGATGTGCATTTCAAGGAAGCATGGAATTGATTGTGTCTTTTGTTTCAGTGTGACCTTGGTCTGCAGGACTTTGTGCCAGCTTTTCTAGAGACCGTGGCCCAGCCCTCAAATCGACAGGAAATCTCACGGCCTGCCTCCGAGACCATATTGAAGACAATCTGTCCTTTGTGGCATGGTATCGCATGTCCGCGCCTTCTTCGGACTGCCTCGAATCTTCCTTTGGATGTCTCAGCGAAGTTGTCTAGCGGTCTCAGAACTGCTGATCATGCCAAGCTTCAGCAATCCCTGCAATCTCTTTATGCTTCTGCATCGTACCACATAAGTACCTGAGGATGCCAGCGACTTCGGCATTTTCCAGGAGCTGGATGGCTTCCATTACGGCCTGCACTGCCTGCATTGACATGAGTGTCAAATTGCATGGCAGTCGATGTCAAACCTCCAAGCATCCGCAAACATCTGCAAACTGTCCCCATTCTTGCACAAAGAAATAAAAAGAGGCTCTCCTTGACAGTAGGGGCTCTCAGGACAGGTCTTGAATATGCGATGTGAAGTCGTTGTGAAACGTAGAGGATGTAGCCTCTCACAGGTCCAGTTGAGCGCAACACTTGCGTGTCGATCCACTGCTTCTTGGACCAGGGTTTGCTCCGTTTGCTCCACATGAGTGGATGGGTGCAATTTTCTGCAGCTGTCTTAGGTTGTCTTAGCCATATCACTGAGAAGCATGTGACAGCTGCACCTGCCTGTGTGTGAGAGAGAGAGAAGCTCTCCAAAGCACACAGCTGCAGCCTTCGTGGCCGACGCAGCGTGCGCGTAGCATTGTTGCCGGTGAGGACAAGATCCAAGAGCACTTCACATCCATTCGGCACGCTGCGCTGCTTTACAATGCCCATTTGGTCTACACCAACCTTGCATTGAGCGACATGAGGCACAATCGGGTGCAGAATTCCTATGAAAAATTTGAGGAATGTACAACTTTTGCAGCGTAGGGTAAGCCATCATCATTGTGGAGAACTTGTTAGAAGCCGTCGCTTGTGCTGCAGGGTGCTCTATTCCTACTTGGTTTCCTTCAACGGTGCCGTGTCCAGCTACAAGCTGAACAGACCACCCTTCGGCCTAACTGGCTTACTTAATTGGCCTCTTTCTTTGTTTCTTTCGAGTCGAGTCTCGCACTGACGAATTCGCTATTCACTGCTGGAGCCTCTCCTGATTCACATAGCAGAGACACAGGGTGAGGGACCATTGATGCACAAGTAGCTGCATGGAAGGCAGGATCCCCACTGCTGCTTCACAGCCTGGCGGTGGGAGTTCCTCGCCCGGCTCTCATTGCTGAATGATCCGTTTGGAATCTGCCACATCTCATCCGAGCAGAAAGCTCATGCAAGATCATGCAAGGTTTGGCCGGGCGTTTCTGCTCTCCGAGGAGGCTGCACGAGCAGACTGCAGCGGATGTTGTGACATCGATCAGCCTATGCTGTTGCCAGAAGTCTTATTTCCCATTACCCATCCATGCTCATCCATGTTCCTCGTCCGCGAAATCTCTTGGAGGAAGATTTTCTCCTTGGCGTTTCGCGGCGGCCGTCAAGTGGGTGGCCCATGCAACAACTTTGCATCTGCCTTGCAAGGATGCGTGCGGCGCAAGGGAAGGAGACGGGACCAGGACACTCAGGCAGAGAAGGAATATGAAGGCAGCTAAGCAGATGCAGAAAACAATGAACATGGAAGAAGCTTGCAGAGCAAGGTGGCGGTGCGCGGATGCTTTCTCGCTCATTTTGACCTAGCCACGCATGCTGCAGAAGGCGTAGACTAGCTCGATACTAGAACTAGATGCCACGAGTCATGAAGCAAAAGGTTTAACCATAATCAAATGTTGCCGTCATGGTTCATTTTAAGTATCACCACCCCCTTAACCTAAAACACCGCGGGGGTGGTGACCTTTCTGCTGGAGGCCGCGGTGTTTTTCGGAGGGTTGGGCCCATTCCACGGCCAGGAGACACAGAAAAAACACCGTGGGGGGGCGAACCCGGGTTACCACCCCCGCGGTGTTTTTATTCTATAAGGCTTATCGAGATCCGGTGATCTTCAGGAGTTTCTTTTCAAGGCTTGACCCCCCTTACGTGGAGTGCCTACCCACAGACCTGGAGAATCCCTGAGGGCCTCCCAGAGAATCGGGATTCTCTGCGGGCGGGTACTCCGCATGAACGCTTCTCTCGTGAGCACTCCAGGGTTGCTTGCGGGATTCTCGGCAGGATTCTCTGAGACTCCAGGGATACCCTGCGGAAGTCTCTGCAAGATTTTTTGGGGTGGTCACTCTTGTGAGATTTGTTGTAGGACTCTCTGTGCGGGCGGGATTCTCTGCCTGATTTTTGGGGTGAGGGCACTCCAGGCATACTCTGCAGGATTCTGCGGGCATTCCACTAAAATTCTTGGGAAGGCACTCCAGGGATAGCCGAGGTACCGCGGTTGGGAAACGAACAACAACATGCGGTACACCTGTGCAAACAACTCGTCCACCCAGGAAACCGACATGGATTTTCGTGCAAAAAGGGGCCTGGATAGACATTTTCAGTGGGCATTTTGGTCTTGGTCTCTGGAAGAAGAGGGAAACTTCTAGAAAATCACAATAGCTAAGCCCTAAGCCTTAAACCTAAACCTGACAAATCCCAGACCTTAACCCTAAACCCAAAACGAAAACCTTAGACAGCAACCCTAAACCCTGAACCCGCCAAACGCCCCAAACCCAAATCTGAAACCGTAAAACCTCAGCCTTAAAACCAGAAACAAATCTAGCCTCTTTTCAGGGGGTGGATATACATTTTTCCGGTCCAAACTTGGGCTCCAACTCAGGTACCGAGCACCCAGCAAAACTTAATCTTGCCTTTTGCAGGGACTTATAGACCCAAAAAAGGTTTAAAGTTTAACCCTACTGGGCTGCTCAGTCAAAAGTGCGGCCTTGTGGGTGCCTCCCTTTGGATTTGGACCAAAGTGTAAGGCTTTTAGGAGGTTTTCGGGTTCAGGACTACTGCTTAGCTTGTTTAAGGTTTCACTTGCCCTGGTTTAAAGTTTAAACAGAAGAGTTTAGGCCTTAGAGCTTAGGACACGAGTATGCGTGTGTTTGTCCCGTTTGTTCTTGATCTTTGTCTCTGGAAGGAGAGAGAAAAAAGAAACCAAGTAATGAACGAAGAGGGGAACTAAACCCCCTTACAAACGAGAAAAAGCCTAAATTTCTCGCTCAGCCAAAACGGGGGCATGCAGGGGCCTTCTTGGGATCTGGACAAAAGTTTTAAGGCTTTTGGAGGTTTTAAGGTATAGGGTTTAGGGTTTAGAGTTGACTGTTTATTTAAGGTTTCGGGCTTAAGGTTCTACAACCCGAATCGGGAGGGGACCCGGGTAGCGCAGTGGTGTACACCGTACACCGCACGGCAGAGGCACCGCCATGAATTATAGGCCTGAGGGTGGGTTTAAACTGAAGGGCTTAGTACTTAGGGCTTAGGACGCGAGTGTGTGTGTGTGTGTGTGTGTGTGTGTGTGTGTGTGTGTGTGTGTGTGTGTGTGTGTGTGTGTGTGTGTGTGTGTGTGTGTGTGTGTGTGTGTGTGTGTGTGTGTGTGTGTGTGTGTGTGTGTGTGTGTGTGTGTGTGTGTGTGTGTGTGTGTGTGTGTGTGTGTGTGTGTGTGTGTGTGTGTGTGTGTGTGTGTGTGTGTGTGTGTGTGTGTGTGTGTGTGTGTGTGTGTGTGTGTGTGTGTGTGTGTTGTGTGTGTGTGTGTGTGTGTGTGTGTGTGTGTGTGTGTGTGTGTGTGTGTGTGTGTGTGTGTGTGTGTGTGTGTGTGTGTGTGTGTGTGTGTGTGTGTGTGTGTGTGTGTGTGTGTGTGTGTGTGTGTGTGTGTGTGTGTGTGTGTGTGTGTGTGTGTGTGTGTGTGTGTGTGTGTGTGTGTGTGTGTGTGTGTGTGTGTGTGTGTGTGTGTGTGTGTGTGTGTGTGTGTGTGTGTGTGTGTGTGTGTGTGTGTGTGTGTGTGTGTGTGTGTGTGTGTGTTTGTCCCTTTTGTTTTGATCTTTGTCTCTGGAAAGAGAGAAAGAAGGAAGTCAAAGTAGGGAACCAAGAGAGGCGCTAAACCCCAAACCTTGAACTCTGAACCGAAGCCCTAGTGGACCTAAGCCCTAAACCCAAAACCCAGGAAACCAACAAGCAAACAGAAAGAGCAAAGGAAGCAAAACCTGGCTCCTTTTTCAGAAAGAGTGGGCAAATATACTTTGGATGTCGGATACACAAGCCAAAGCACGCGGGCACCCAGGTAGCACGTTTGAGCGCGTGACGGGAGAAATTTAGGCTGTTTCTGGTTTATGGGGGGGTTTAGTTCCCCTCTTTGTTCGTTATGTGGTTTCCTTTTTTCTCTCTCTCCTTCCAGAGACAAAGATCAAGAACAAAGGCACGAATACACACGCATTCGCGTCCTAAGCTCTAAGGCCTAAACCCTTCAGTTTAAACCAGGGCAAGCGAAACCTTAGCAAGCCTTAAACTTTGGTCCAGACCCCAAGGGAGGCACCCACAAGGCCGCACTTTTGGCTGAGCAGCCCAGTAGGGTTAACTTTAAACTTTTGGGGTGTGTAAGTCCCAATAGGAAAGTTTAAGTTTTGTGGGTGCTCGGTACGTGAGTTTAAGGCCAAGTTTGGACCTGAAGCCCGGAGCTGGGTCTGCCAGCACTCCATAGAGGCAGAAAAAACCCTCTCTGGGCAAACGGGGTACTCGCAGGATTTTAGCGGTTTAAGCCTTTGTTTGGGGTTTGGAAGCTAGAAGGCGTGGGTGCGTGCGTTGATTGTTGGATTGTCCCGAGTCTTGTGGTTGCCACATCGTGAAAAGACCCTTGGCCAGGTCCTTTTTTTTGGAAGTCTGCAAGGTGGGGGCTTCAATTGTTTGTCTGACTCGTATCCTGTTTGTTAAACCACGGTGGCGGCCAGTTTTGGGAGTGGAAGAGAACTAAGTTTCAGCATCCTGATAATCAAGAGAAGATCCAGTGCCTCGTCTCCTTTGCACCCGTTTTCTGGGCAGTGCAAGATCACAGTATCCAAAGTAGTGGCGCAAAGAACACGTTAAGTGGAGCCCCGAGATATATATCAAGCCCTGTTTTTTGAAAAGTTTGAAGCGGGGGGTCCAGTATCTCGTTGCCTGGGCAGTCGGTTTTTGGCACAGGGCAGGATTGCAGAGTCCATAATAGTTGCAAAAAATGAGTTTAAGCGGAACCCCGACATACACCTTAAGCCCAGTTTTTTGATGGGTTAGAAATCCCAAACGTGGTTTTTTTTAATGTTTTTCGGCTTCGGATTTGGGCGAGGTGCGGGTGCGAAAACCAAGGAAAAACACCGAACCCCCCAGGACCCCAATCGAAAAAAAAACTGCGGGGGTCCCCCCCCCCCCCTCCGGTGTTTTTCTTAAGGGGTGGTGATATTTTAAGTGCTTCACCTAGGTTTCAAGAAGCAGAGCCGACACACCGACTTACAGCGTTGCTGGAGGGACAAGCCCGGTGAATGAGATGCCTGCACAAACCACATCCAGCACATTTGAGCACCACTCGGGCCATTTCCGACTGAGCGGAGAATGATAAAAACCCTTGTGGCCCTTGCATCTTCCCTTATCCTAGCTGACGACTCGCAATAACAATCTTTTGCTGCAGCCCCGAACCCATGGGGCGCCCCGCAGTTGATGGCACTTTAGGCCGCTAAAGTGGTACCGACCAGCAATAGCCCAAACTTGGCAAGAAGGCCGGCACTTGTTCTTGACTTCGCTTGCCGACGCATGGCATCGCCATGACAGTCGAGAAAGCCACCTCTGCTCTGGATCTGGACCTCCAGGCCAGTGAGATCCATTCAAAGTAGCCACGATGTTGTTTCGATGGGCACGTGTTTCTATAGGAGGGACAATTGCACCAAGCTGACTGGCGAGGCGGTAGAAAATGTCCCGCGAGAGACTTGACTGCATCATCGGTACGAGCAAAGCAGAAGATTTGACAAGATTTGACGCAGCACCCGAATCGATGAAGGGCGGAAGTCGGGCGGGACTTGCTTGGCCACAGACTCAGGACACCTTGGTTGCTCTCCTTCGACGAAAGGACATGTATAGGGTACGTACAGAAAGGGCACTACCCCCTCGCGTTGCCGAGCAATGTCTTTTTGTCTCCCGCCTGCGACAGGACAAGGAAGTAAAGACCACTCAAGGAAAGCTTGAGAAGCTCGAAGAAAGGTATGTCAAGGCGCACTGGGAGAAGTGCAGCAGCGAATCAAGCTTCTTTAGGATCATCAGCCGACTGCTTGCGGGGCCCACTCAGTGACTGGCTTCAGTACTCAAGACAGGTAGTGAACTTGGATGCGTGTTCTGTTCGTTCAATTTTGTACATTATCTCCGTCTCAACTCAACCGCGTTCTACTAGACACTACTAACTAGTAGGTGGGCTTCGGTCCTGACCGATCTCGGTCTGCCATGCGCACGCCATCTTGTCTAGGCAAGATCCGATCCTAATGCTTCATGCAGTGGGCTGCTAAGTCAGGGTGCAGCAGCGTCGAAACTTGAACGAAAAGCCGAGCTATTAATGATACGTC